TATTTTGAATCTGAAGGACAGTCGAGGTGCAAAACCACTGGTGAAACCAGGTATGGTAGTGCAGGCCACTGAGGCAGGAGGACACAAGCCAGGCCAGCCTGATCTACATAGTGAGACCCTGTCTCAAAAAAAAAAAAAAAAAATGACGTCATGACTAATTGAGTGTTTAAAACAAGATGGAAATAAACCATTTAACAAATAACATGTAAACCGGTGCCGTGGCTACGCCTGTAATCCTAGTTGCTCAGGAGGCAGAGATCAGAAGCGGTTCAAAGCCAGCCAAGCAAATAGTTTGCAAGACCTATCTAGAAAAAACCCATCCAAAAAAGTGCTGGTTGAGTGGTTCAAGTGGTAGAGCAGCCTGATTAGCAGTGTGAGAACCTGAATCCTGAGTTCAAACCCCAGTGCTGCCAAAAAAGAAAAAAAGAAAGTCATAAATTCATGTTGATACCTCAGATTACCAACCCAGCATCACAGGTTTATTCTAGTCGTCCCATTTCCGTATTTATTATTTATTTGTGGACTGGAGTTTGAAACTCAAAGCCTACACTTTGAGCCACTCCACAGCCCCATGATCCTCCTGATCTCTGCCTTCTGAGTAGCTAATTACAGGCTGAGTGCGCCAGCACCTGGCCCCTTTCATATGATAACTTTCTTTTCAGACTAAAAAATTCTGGCTCAATATATTTATTTGCTGTATCCTAGAATATGTAAAATTGTTTCAGAATTGGTAATCATACCATTGGGGAAAGACTAGTCTTCGGGTTTGAATGACAGGGGCAATACTGCCTCATTTAGGTCTCCCCACATACCCTTCATCCTCTACAAAAACCTCATAAAAATAAGACCCATGGCTTGAGCATGAAGAAGTCATGTTGTTCAAATTACTGTAAGTAGAGAAATGAACAAATTCCAGTAGAGCTCCTGCCACCTACCTGCAAGCTTCGAACGCGTGCGTGAAGGGTGTAGAAGTAGGAGGTTAAGAGATGCCATGAAAAAGCATAGTGGGGTATAGAGGACTTAGATGAGGCAGACACAGTACCCCAGAAAAACAAAGCCACGTGAGATCAGTGTCAAATATATAGAACTCAGTCAGGATATTGACAAAATCATAGCTGTTGGCTATGCCATAATATGGATTTTAGTGCCTCAAAGGAGGTCCCCCATAACAAACACTTAAAAAGTGGAAGTATCAGCCAGGCACGGTGTGGATGCCAATAATCCCAGCACTCAGGAGGCTCAGGCTGGAGGGTCACAAATTCCAGGCCACCTGGGCTACATAGTAAGACCCTCTCTCAAAAAAAAAGAAAAAAGGAGTGTCTTTGGAACCAAGTTTGAAATATTTTTTTTTTTATGGCACTGAGGTTTGAACTCAGGGCCTCGTGCTTGCTAGCAGGCACGCTTTCCCGAAAAGAATTTGTGGAGTATGCCACAGCAAGCTTAAATTGCCTTGAACAAAAGGAAAACCTCGTATGTACTCGATAGAGCGATTAGCCAAAATTGGTGTCCTGCAGTTTCATAGAAAATGTAGAATTTAAAAGCAATGAATTAGGCTACTTAGCCAAAGAGCTTTTCCATGCAGTGTTAAAGTGCAGTCTGGCCTGTTCTGCTCATTATAATAAAATTAAAGAAGAAACGACAAATTGAGGAAGGAACTTAAGTACAAGGAATTGTTCATGCTTAGCGTATCCAGATGGCCAGACACTAATAAAAGCTAAGAAATTATTTTCAAAAGCAGGCAAAAAAGAAAACTGAATATGTGGCTGTTCAGAGTATTTTGATCACAAGAGGCTGAAGATCTTAATCAAACCAGTGGTTCTAGAAGCTTAAGGGCATCTGCAGCCAGCTCAGCAGAGCCAAAGGTAGAGAGTTATTGCAAACAATTTGGACATGGCTTCTGTTTAATACAGTGAATCCTCATGATGTCCACTCAAAGGCCACAAGATTCTTGAGAAGTTTACATAAGCAGAAATACTGCTAGCTTGGTCTGAAGTGACAGACATCAAACTGAAAGGATGCTGTCAACCTTCCCCTACCCCGACCAATTCTTCTGGAAGGATAAACGGTTGATAAAATGACTCAGCTGTAAACACATTCTACCTTTCATGAAAAAAGGATGACTCAAAGGGAGGAACTGGAAGCCCAGAGGGCAGAGCCAAGAGCCCAAAGGACTGACTGAAAGCCACAAAGAATTATTCCCAAGTCTTAAAACCTGAGGGAGTTTCTCAGCTGGGTTTTAAAACTACTTTGGACTGGTGACTGCTTTCTGCCCTTCACTTTCATCCTTTTTGAACTGGAATGTCTGTAACTCTTAACCTTTGCCTGTTCTATCACTGGGTGTTAGGGATGAATAACTTGTTTCATCATAAAGTCCACAGATGGAGAGAAGTGGTGCCAGGAGTCTCACCCACACCTAATCTAAATGACTCGATGAGATTTTGGACTTTTGAGCTGATGAGATTTAGGTAAGAGTTTGGATGTTGAGGAGAAGCATAACAGAAAGAGACCTTTGGAAATTTGGGAGAGGGTGAACACAGTTTTCATTTAGGAGAAACATGAGTCACTGGGGGCCAGAGGACAGATTGTGGCAGGCAGAATTTTTTTTTTTTTTTTAGTGGTCCCCAAAGATGTCTCTTCCTGGAACATCTGGAATATGTGACTATGATAGAAACTGTAAATACGATTTCACTCCCAAGATTATGTTATTTCATACAGGGTGGGCCTGACCTAAACATGAACTTTGTTTTTTGTTTTTGTTTTTTTTAGCAGAGCTTTCTGGCTGATGGCAGAAAAGAAAGTCAAGAATTCGAAGCACAAGAAGGCTTTGACATCTGTTAGCTTGCTTGAAGACCTGTATGACTGTGTCAAGTGAGGCAGACGAGACATTAGGGGAAATTCTGGACTTTTTAAAACCCATACAGCCTGATTTAGAGCTCCTCAGTCCCCTGCTTACCCATTTCCTGTGAGCCCAGAGAGCTCATTCCATGGTGATCCTTTGTTAGGTTAAACTAGAGTGGAAATTTCCTCCTGCATGCCTAGGGTACCTGAGAATTAGCAGAGTATATGCGATGAGTGTCCCCCCCACCCCCCAATCCTCCCCCTCACCTCCAAGGCCATTGGAGATGGGGAAGTGACTTAGTTTTCTCCCCACATCCAAATTAAGGATTGAAATAAAAATGACCTAAAATAAAATTTCTCCCCTTTTTTTCCTGCACTTGGCGCCTCCATTCCACCTGGCAGAGACCCCACCTGTAATAATATACTCCCTTATTTCCCTCAGTATAGCCACGTGTTCTGCTTGGATTCTTCCTCGCCAGAGCGCAAGGACCAAAATCTTCTGATCAGAATCATCAGCAATTTAACACAAGGACAGAGAAGTGCCCTGATAGGAGCTGAGCATAACCCCCTGGTGATAGCCAGCAAGGAAACAGGGACCTCAGACCTAAAACTGTAGTGGGACTGAATTCTGTCAACAACCTAAATGACCTAAGAAGTGGATTTTTCTCCTCGCTTCTAGATAAGAGGGCGCCAGTGGCTCAAGCCTATAATCCTAGCTATCAGGAGGCAGAGAGCAGGAGGATCCAGTTCAAAACCAGCCCCAGGCAAATAGTTCATGAGACCCTATCTTGAAAATACCCAACACAAAATCAGGCTGGCAGAAAGCTCAATGTGGTAGAATGCCTGCCTAGCAAGCATGAGGCCCTGAGTTCAAACTCCATGCCAGGAAAAAAAAAAAAAAACCCAGATTGGTTAGCAAATTGATTTCAGCCTTGTGAAAATCCTAACAGAGAAACCATCCTTGAACCTGTCTGGGCTGTGACTTACAGACTATAAGCTAATAAATGATTGTTGCTTTAAGCTGCTAGGATTGGTAATTTCTTATACAGCAATAGAAAATTAATACAATGTACAAAAAGTCATATGGTAAATGCATGTTTCATTTATTAAGAAACTTCCTGTAGTGGAGTGAATCGTGTCCCCTCAAAATATGTCCAAGTCCTAACCTCTGTACCTGTGAATGTGATCTGTTTTGGAAACAGAGTCTTTTGCAGCTGTAAGTCAAGTAAAGATGAGGGTCACACTGGATTTAGGGTGAACTAAATACCATGACTGCTGTCTTAATAAGAGAAAGGAGAGGGGATTAGGATACAGAGATACTCAGAAGCAAGGAGGCCGTGGGAAGATGGAGGCACTGATTGGAGTGATAACAGCTATAGGCCAAGGAATATAGGCATACCAGAGTCTCCAGAGGCTGGAAGAGTCTCCAGAGAGAGCATGGCCCTATTTGATAGCTTAATTTTGGACTTCTAACTTCCAGAACTGAGAGAGAGAAAACTTCCGCCTGTTTAAGCTATGTTGTGGTAATTTGGTACAGCAGCCTAGGAAACAAATATAATGTCAAACAGTTTTCCAGAGTGGCTGTATCATTTTACATCCCCACCAGCATTGTATGAGAGAGCCAGTCGCATTGCATTCTCCTAGCATTTGGTGTCATCACTGTATTCATTTTGCTCTTCTAATAAATTTGTAGTGATAGCTCATTGTGGTTTTAAATCTGCATTTCCTAGAAGCTAATGATGTTGAGTATCTTTCATGTACTTATTTGTCATCTATATCTATTCCTTGGTAAAACATCCATTCATGTTTTAATAACTAGATTTTTTTAACTATTAAGTTTTGAGTGGTCTTCACATAGTTACAAATAAAGCCTTTTCCAGAGATATGGTTT